AGGAGCAGAGGAAAACATGACTGTCTCTCCCCACTCCCCCACTCGCCAGCCGCCCTCAAGTCAAAAATGTTCCTGCAGAGTGCGCGCGCTGACGAGCAGGAAGAAAACTACAGATCCTGTAAATCAGAAAGCTGATGTCAGATCAGCCTCTGAATCACTCTGACAGTTACTACCAAGCTACAGACACGCTTCAAACTTTACGACACCCCTGCTGTTGCTAAGTACATTTACTCAAGTGCTGTACTTAAGCATCATTTTTGAGAGAGTTGTACTTTACTTGAATATTTCAATTTTTTGCAATTTATACTAGGCCTACTACCCCACTACAATTCAGAGGTAAAAAGTGTACCTTTGCTCCACTAAATTTGTTTTATAACTTAAGTTACTTTGCAGATTTGGATTAATTATATGAGATTTAATTGACACTTCAATAAGACTTTAGTCAAACCTGGAGTAAATCCACAAGCCCTGCTATACAAAAGAATTAAACTTAGCAATTTTACCAACTTTGATAAACACATTATTGCATCACTTTCAATAATAATAATCAAAAGATATGATGTATATAATTCAGAAATGGGTACAAGATCTGAGTACTTATTCCACCTGTGAACAACACACTAAACAGAGGGAACAAGGAGATCTAAAATCACCACGACTATACTTTTAAAAGAGTAGTAAATATTCACTGGAAAATAACACTAATTTCACAAGCGATATTCGGGAATTTAAGAATCAATAAGTTGTTACTAAAGGCTTTCTTAATGTTCAATAAATAACAATGCTTTATAGAACAATTGTAAGGCATAAACAATGTAGAACTGCCAGGTTGTGGAAAAACCAATGGGTCGAAATGTGTCATTTCTATAATTGGAAACAATGCTGTCATAATTGTTGCTAATCCATACATCCAGATGTAGGAAATTAAATGTAAAGATAAAAGCACATAACATATCATTTTACATGTCAAATTAATTATGGATCTAATTTGTTAAAGGTGTGCTAATAAATTAATATCTGCATTAGTTTGTCTTCAGAAAAACTTTTTAAAAGTGCTCCTCTATCATACATTTCATACCAAACATTGTACAATCTTATGATATGAGGGAATGTTGTATAAAAACATTTCAGAGCCCCTGCTGTCAAACTGAACATGATCACATGACAGTAAACACAGTATTAAAACATTTCACATAATTAGAGAGGATAAAGAGGTGAAAAAGGATCTGCATTGAAAACTGTCCGTGTTGTATCTCCTTCCTGGCTCTGCAGAGGGTGTGTTATGACCATAGACTGTATATATAAAGGTTATGACCCAAATAGTTAACATTTCATTCCATCATGAGCTTGATTTCTGTCTGAAACATGTTAGATATTTGCCAGAGCTCCGCCACTCAGCAGGAATGCCAGTTTGGGCATTCCTGTCAAACATACATGTTTGACAGGAAGTCTGGCCCATCATGCATCTGCGCTCTTTCCTAAACATCCTGCAGAGATGCTAGAAACAGTGGTAACGGTTTGTAGACAGATGTTCACAGGGAAAGTATGTTTTGTGACACAGAACAAGAAAAAAGGAAGATCTACCTCATAGGGGTCCATCTATATCGCCATGCCAACAGTCTGGAAATACTCTTTTTTTTCTAGTCATTTCTTCTCTGAGCTAGAAAGGGCTTTCTGTCCTATTTTCAATTAATCCTTTGTGCTGTATAGTTTGGGATAGGACAATTTGTCATTTCAGTAATATAATTTTCCTATAATAAAGCCTCCCAATCCAGAGATAATATAAATGGTGATAATTCTGACTTTATTAATGATATTGAGATCCATTTAGTGGTATAATGCTGGCTACTTTCTTCCAACAATATCAGAATATGAGCTTTATGCAAAAGCATGTTTTTTCCAGAAATAAAATAGAACCATCACCCTCAGTAATAACACAGAATTTGAATTGGCTGCAGCTACGTTTACAGATTGATTATCTTTATATGAACCCATCCAGATGTGGAAGTACATGTTTTTGTGCATCAAAACTGAATTCTGATCATATTTGGGATATGACGTTTACATGGAACATGAAAAGTTTTGGTATTTTCTACTGCGTTGCATGATCATAACATTATCCAGGTTATAACTCATGCATTACTGAAGTCAGACTGTTTCTCTTTATTTCAGTGCCACTTTAAATAATTTACATTGAGATGTTTCGTTTTGCTATGGATCTTGAAGGTGACCGAAGTAGTCAACACACCAACACACACACAGCCATCAGAAACCTGTGTATGCCACATTTTGCTGGTTTCTGAAACCAGAATCAAACGTAACCAGGATACTGGATTCAGAAATATCAGCTTTGTTTAGTTCATTATGAATATATCATTATAATGCAGAATTAAGTGCTATGGGACAATTCTGTCAAAGTGCATTGCAATGTTTTTGTTTTTTTAATTCATCACCATCTCTTTGTTTTCACAGACCTTTCAAAAGACACATTTGGCTTTCATCTCAATGGTTTCCTGATGTCTTGTTTGACACACTGTAAATCAGAAGATCAAGTTGATATAAATCTATCTCAGTATTTTTGACAAAACCATTGCCAGACAAGGGTCGATGTTGTGACAAAGTGGGTTTCCTAGATTATGATGCTTGTATTTCTAGATGCTCTGATGACATAAATCTCGATCTGCATTTCCCGATCCCAAGCAGTCCCTTGTGACAAACGTTTGTAATCATGTTACTCAGACTTGATGAGTGCATTAAAATGTCCAAGGGACGGAAGAGGGTTCTTCTCAGAAGTGTTATTCACCGCTCTGCCACATCAATTCTCATTTATAACTCATACCAAATGGAAACTCACAACTCTGGATTAGTCTCAGTTCAAGACAAAACAGAGATTACACCACTGAAACTTCTTGTTTACTTTATAACTGGATATAATGTCGAGCAGGTGGGAGCCTAGTTTTCATTTTTGGGAAGTTCAAGGGGAACCACCACACACACACACAATGCAGGTCTGTCTCCATACACACAAACCGGGAGCTGGTTTATTTGGACAGGGGGCTTGTGGAGGTCTTAGAAACCGTGTTTGCCAGTGTTTGCCTCTCCTTAGAAACTGTGGAGTCCTGTTGGACCTCTAAACAAGACGCAAAAAAATTAAGATTCAGAGGGGAAAAACTAGGGGAGACTTAATGAAGGCACCATATGTTGTATGAGTCTGATTATAAAAACAAACTAGATCGTACCGGGACAGGAAATGCAGAGAGATCACTCCTACGAGGATAAAGAGTTGATGAGAGGCCATGATAAATCAAATGAAAGCACACAAGATAAGAAACCTGCATACTGTGGCTTTAATGGTTGGTAACATCTTGAATGGAGGACCAGCACAGACAGAGCACATGCCAGGCATTCCAGATTCAAGGCCAGAAGTTTTACCGAGAAACTTCAGAGCCAACACTTATGGCACAAGTAACTGCTATTTACAGCCTTCAGATGGAAAGTGAATGTATAATCAGTAATGTGTACTAAACCTGACCTTTTTTGGCTTGCGACCACTTAAAATAAAGAAATATCTTCTTGTGACCCCTCGGTTTGGACACAAGCATCTACGCCAAGAAGTGATTTTCCCCCCTTACATTTTAAAAGAACATAATCACATTTTCAGTTCTTGTGCATATAAAGTTGAGTATCTTCAGTGACTACCAACCCATAAACTTTGCAATAGGACAGTGAGATTTTTGTTGGCTGCCTAGGTCAGAAACATCAGATTTAACAAGCCAATGAGATTTCTTTCTAAATCTTTTTATTAATTTTTTTGCAGACATGGCACTTTCAGCACATTATATAAAGTACAGGACAATTTGTCTGCTAAGCCAATCAGATTTGGCTCAAATTCCTATAGCTGCATTCACACGAAATTGGCAGTGTGTGAGTATCACTTATTTAATTGCCAATTTATTTACTATTTAACAACCTAATTTTGAGCTTTTTCTGTTTGTTTGCATGCATCATCCATTACATGAGCTGGATCCCGAAGCTTTATCACTCAGACACCTCAGTACAAAGGGTTAATGGACATCTCCTGGCTTATTAAAACACAAGTCATATATGGGATGTGGAGCAGGTAGGCATACAGATGTCACAATGCCCCATTGTTCCCATTTGCTGCTGCATGTGCTTTGACATTTCTGGATTGGTCATCTCCTGCGAATAATTATAATTATCTAAATGGAACAATAACATGCTCATATTACAGTAAGGTACCATTTAGCCCCAATCTGTTGCTCCTGGTTCTATGCCCCGGCGGTTGCTGCACTATGTCCTTTAAATTGACTTGCTTGTGTTGAAAAATGTCCTACGCATTCACAGAAAAACCTTAAAAAGACACATGGTGACAAGGCTAAAACATGTACATACATGATTATCCCTAAAGTATGGCTGAAGGAGACACTGGTGAGTATAGGTGGTCTATCAGTGGGTGTCAAACATGTAATTTGCCCTTCAGGCTCTGGGATTGTAAAAAAGGATTCCTTGTAGCTCCCTCCTGACATTTAACAAGGAAAATACTACGCTTGATTGTAAGTTTGAGTGCAAAGCCACATTTCAGTGGACGGCAGAGCTATAGAAAGGAAGGAATAAATAGTAAGGAATACTAAAGGGCAGAAAAACCTTGCACTGCAAATTTTTCAATGATGGGTTCTACTTCCCATTAAAGCAAACAGGCGAGCTCAGCCTGGGCCTAAAGAGAGCGATGCGGGCAGCGAGGCAGCCAGCGAGACCACAGGAAGGGGAGATACAACATGCTACAAATAGTGTGTGTTGACATGCAGGAACAAGAAAACCAATTAGCAGTGTGCGGTAGACCAAGACTCGGTGGATCGTTTTGTTGGTTTATTGTGCACATTATTCGGTAGGCCAGTCCAGGCTGTAGAGACTGCAGATGTTTCAGTATTTACCATAATAAGAAAGCCAAGTAGTCTTCTGACTACACTTCATTAGCAAACTTCTTTTTGCACAATCCTTTATTTGAACAATTAACAAAATAGAACGCTGGAGGCTTAAAATTAAAAGACAATAGATTTTGTTTTTTTAGGTCAATATCCCAACAAATCCCAGCAGACAATGGTGTTAAGCGCACATACTGAAAAGAGACATTATTGAAGCATTTCACCAGCACATTTCCTGACCAGCCATGAGACTGAGATAAAACTGTACAACAGAAAGCTCAAGGTGTCAGTTCAAAGTCCCAACTCCCAAACATTCTTCAAAAAAGGGGAAATAAAAAAACGTAAACCAACAATGTTACAATTTGTGCCGAAATGACTACAAAGCCAGCAGCACAACTGAAGTATCATAAAAGTTAGAAGATGTTTCGACTAAGCGGCATGCCTCAGTTTCCTGTGTGGAATGAGCCGTGAGATGGCAACAAGACCTCGATGGAAAAGGCAAAAATAAAGTCTGAAAATAAGGAAGGGCCGTTTATGTTTTCCTTTGGTTTACCTGAAGGTTTCTGACTGAAACCAACAAGAAAATGTCAATTAAACTATGCACCACATAATATTATACAAGAGGCAAAAGATAAATGTGATATTACGTAATTTTGACCTTTCATTTCAAATTGAAAAACTGAACCAATTCAGTCTGTACGACAAACTTATAAAAAGGGACATGTTTAAGTGAAATACTTGCAGTTTTTAAAATACAGGAAATAATGTTTACACGGCACCTTCTTTTTGATCTGAGACAGGAAATTGCGGGACAACCAACAGCTTACCTGTGTACTTTGTGATAATTAACTATCTGCGAGAAAAGTGTGTCAAAATGTCAAAGTACACAAGCCTAAATCCTTTAAAATACTTGATAAATGAATTTCAGAGTGTTAATACTGAGATACTGACACTGGTGGTTGGAATTAAAATGGGTAAAAATAAAGCGGGAAAAATAACTAAATTATAAAGAAAAATGACAAAAAAGGAAATAAATATCAAGCAAAGAACTAGTTCAATTTTATTCATTATTGTGCTTTAGCCTGTGTAATTTTCAAACACCAATTCAAATGCAAGCATATTTTTTCTGAAGGGAGCGAGAGCATCGGGACATCCAATCAATGATCCATGACAAAATAAAAACTAACATTTTAGTAACTCAAACAGAAATCATCACAATCAATGATCCAAAAGAAAGAAAGAAAGAAAAGAAAATCAAAATCTTTAACAAAGCAAACACTATCTCCTTTTGTGCACATGTCTGGGTTTTTCTTTTGCAGAGCTTAGAACAGATGTAGTCCCACATCCCTCGACACTCAGGTTCCCTCCACTAGGAGGAAATGCTGAGCCACAAAAGAGTAAATACAAAGATGTCAGGTACCTTCCCCTAACTCGTCGCAGACATTAGACTTGCGGTTGGCGCCTGATTAGGGTTAGACTTGTGCACTGAGTGGAAAAACATCACACAATGAACCTAAGGCAGCCCCCGCTTTCTGCTGAGTTGGGGGTAAGAGGGGTGGTGTGGCTCAAAACTACACTGATAAGCCACCTATCCACAGGTGGAACCTTTAAACACGTAAAGACAAAAACAGAATTGATAGAGAAGGAAATGTACAAAGTAAACAAGGGCGGGTTTTGCAGTGGAATCTGTTGTGATTGGTTGCCATTTCTCCAGTGCAATAACCGAGTTTGAAAACTAGCGCAGTCCTTTAGGGACCCACAAGTTTTCAGTCAGATTTCATATTTTTAATTGTTTTCTTTTAAACATTTTAATCTAAATATTTGCAAAATATGCATTTGCCTGTCATATCGTAATCCTCAATCAGTTTATACTTTGTGCACAGAAGCGTATTTGTTAAATTCTAAAGCGCATTAATATTTTCTTTCTACATCTAAACCCAAATATCATACCAAGGACCTCTCAAACAAGGACGCTGTTCAGCTCTTGATGTACCATCTTTCTTTTTCTCCTGTTGTTGATGGCTCAAGTTGTACCTCGATTTAAAAGCATCATAAAAGTGAGGAAATGGCAGAGTTGTTTGTGTTGGTGGCAAAGACGACGATCTGGCCTTGGGAGGAGAGACTCACGATAATGCTGGTGCTGGGCCTTTAAATTCATGAGGGCAAATTCAAACAGGCTTTTAAACTGCTGCAAATGTATCAGGCCAACAGATCTCCTTTATTTAAGGGCGAACACTGATATTTCTGGGTAATTCCCTTAAAACAGGTCATTCATGACAGGAGATATTACCCCAGCGGTCCACTCGCAGCCTGTGGTACAGAGTTCTTCCTGCGTTGAGTCCACTGTGTGCTCGGTGAGCGGTGGGCTCAGTCAGAGGAGAGTCTCAGGTCCTAACATGTAACCCCAACCCCACCTCGGTCTATTCAACAGTCCTTTCTTTGCTGCTTTAAAAGTTAAAAAAAAAAGAAAGAAAAAAGGACAAAACAAAAAACAGCAGTGGCGCACAGAAGAGAGCAGTCACAGGGAAATCTTCGTGAATGCAGCTTGTTTCTCTTCCTCCAGAAAGAAAAAAAGAGACGGGAAAAAAGGTGTTGGAAAAGCTGGTTCTCAGGAAAGCAGGGACAGGAGGGAAGAAGAGGAAAATCTTGCAAGAGAACAAGTTGGGCAGTGTTCCTGTTCATTAGTTTCATGTGTGTTTGTGTCACGTGTAGATGTACTGTCCTGTCAACGAGTGCATTCGGAGCATGTATGTTTAGTGTGTGCGTTTGTGAGTATATTCGGGTATTCTTGCGTGTGTGTTGGGGTGTGTGAGTGTGTGTGTGAGTGTGTGTGTGAGTGTGTGTCTACAGCAGGTCCACGCGGCGGTAGTACAGCAGGTAGGCGGTGCGCTCTGCAGTCTGCTTCACCACCTGGTACTGATTGATGACCTTCACTGCCTGGTCGTCGATGCGCAGCCAGCCGTTAAGACCAATGTGGAAGACATCCGTGGTGTAATGACCGCCTGTCGCACTGTTCCCATGGTGATAGACAACTGTTATAGTGGGGGGAAAAAGACATTAGAGAAATGTGGAACATTTCATTCAAGTCATTACTCTTCGAATATGGGCACTGAAGTGTCAGCTGTTTCTTTTTAAATGAGCTGTTAATCCAGAAGATTAACCCACAATGATAATGGATACTATCAATCGCTTTATTATTTTAATGATTATATAAATGAAATTAAAAAGGTCTTACTCAACCGAGTGTTACAGTTTGAAAAGTCATGATAGATACTTGTCTCTTCACACAAGTAAGTGCTAACAGGGTGTTGCTTCTTTATTTTCTATTCTCATTCAAAAGCTAACGATTTCAATAATGGGATTAAAATAATTGATTCAGTGATATACAAAGTGATTTTATTCCAGTTGGAGGACTGATTTGACTTTTTAAAAATAATTATGATCAGAAGGTTTATCCTGATGTCAAGGGGGGGGGGGGGGGGGGGGGCTACTGTAAACTAGATGTATTCAGGCTCAGCACAGAAAGGAACAGACATTCTTTGAGTACCGTTGGCCGCATTCTTATTTTGGGCCACCTTATAGATAATTGTGAAACCCCCAGTGACAATATTTAACAAATACACAACACGACTAAACTCCCCTTGCAGCAGATGCTACAATGTGACCAAAGTTCATAAGCAACGAAACACAAACGTACCTGCAAAGAGCCTGTACGTTCTTTGGCCTTTCACAACTTTGCCACGCACTCCAGCGGACAAGAGATCTGAAAGGAACCCAAACAGAACATGTTAGTGTGATGTACAATAATATAACATAGCAGGGGTAGAGAAAAAAGCTTGTTGTACAAAACGGTAAAAAGCCTCGTAGTGTTAAATGTTGCTACTTTGATCTTGAATTATTCTGTTCACAATTCCTCTAAGCATGTTCAGAGATGGATAAGGATTTTTTAGAATGATTAGATGTGTGCAGTTGTTTATCTTTATCATGAGCTTATCCCGCTATTTCAGCAGATAGATCATTCCCCTTAAGAAAAGACATACCACTGATCTGCGTTTCTCTGGCGAACAATCTTTTTTTATAGAGTAAATGTTACATTTGAGTTACATTTCGCAAATCCATTTAGGCTACGAGTTCTAATGAATGGTACTAAACCCTCTAGACATGCGTCTCGTCATGATTAAGTGATATGTTTAAAATAAATATATATTTTTAAAGTAGCTTTTATTAACATTAGTCCAGGAAATCTACACTATATACACAAATGATATGTATGAGTGTAAAGGTCTGCTGTGCCCCGTAAAGTACGAGTCCATACCTTTGCTGATTTCCAGGTCAACGGGGTAATCAATGTTCTTGATCAGTTTCTGGCAGCCTCCAGTCTTTTCAAAAACAAATCTCTTGAGATGGAGCACCAGCACAGGGGGCAGTTCTTCCAGAGTCACCCTCCGACTGATCTCAATCTGAAACACGGACAAAAGACGTGCAGTCAGAGAAAGCTCAGTGATAGTAAGACAATGTTATTCAAGAACAAAAAGTTAATTTGTTAGGGTAGACGAGAGAAAAAACCCAATAAACATATTTTTAACAAAACAGGAAACAGCACAAAACAAGTAGAGAACATGCAGTATAGAAATTGTTGTGCAACCTCCTGCTGGGCACTTAAAATATTGTCTCATGAATCATTTTGGGGCTTTTAGGAGCTGGGATGGTGACCACAAGTTAGCTGTCTCTGAAAGAGCACCAGACCAGAATGATCGGTTTATCGGTTACAAATATAATAAAAAAAGATGCCCATTTCACAGCTGCAGGGCAGATGTTCCTGCACTAGTTGTCCTAAAATAGTTTAGTGATTGAAAATAAGGTGTTTTCTTCACTGGTTGGGAGGTCTTGTGTAACTGGTGTTAAATGACCAGTACCACAAGAGCAAAAACATTTTTATGACAGAAAATAAAACCAGAAATCTTTTTTAAATGAAATACATATTTTGTCACAATCCCAAATATAACTGAAAAAACACATTTGGCTGTCTGTGGCCTTTTTAGTGTAATTAAGTCCCGCCCCTTCATGGAACAACCCAATCCTGGCCAGAGGTCGGAGAACTTCTACCAATATTGGGAATAACGGGGGCTCTATATGCTACATGTTGAATGGATATAAGTAAAATAAATTGATTTTGATTAAATAACAACATTTTAAGCTTAGATAGAAAGCATATGATTCGTTAAGAATGGATGTGTGTCGGAAATGTGAAAATCTGATATATTTAATTGACAAAAATAAGTCAATTTAAACAAATGTTCCTTGTTCTATTCCTGCCTCTTGTGATAAGAGCACAAGAGGCTGTGGGAATAAAACAAGAACTTTCTGTACCACGCCTAGGAAGGGAGACTGTCATTTAGGAACACAGCTCCCATGGTAACGTGGACATAGTTTCACACAACTGATTTATAATACTGCTTCTGATCATGTATATATTTTTGAAAAACCACATTGATAAGAATGTTTAAACTTGCATCTTTTGTGTCATAAATGTATGTAACTCAACACTAACATGATAGTTAAACCCTTGTGTGCATGAATGAATGTGTAAACAGTCATTCCTTGAGGTTTTACACGTGAGACAGGAGGAATGTTAGCTTCATTAAATATCAAAAATAAACATTCAGCAATTTCATTCATTAAATCTGAAATGGAAATGACTGATTGACACTTACATCACACACTGATGATGTGTAACGCATGAACCACCTTCATGCAGGTGAGTTGTGAAATTCTGAACCAAATAAAATGTAATAAAACATTTATGGACGTTCCCTTCAAGCACTATCTGTTCCAGAGGAAGTGCATTCAAAGAGTGTGATCATTAAAAAGATAAACACCCAATCCTGGCCAGAGGTCGGGGAACCTTTACCAATATTGGGAATAATGAGGGCTCCATATGTGATACATATTGAAATATCAACACTCTACACATCTCTTGTCCTCTCTGCTCTGTACTTCTCTTCATGCTTTTAACAGGATCTGGTTATTGCTATCGATACATTATAGGCTACATTTTAAATGGATACATGTAGAATAAATACATTTTGATCAAATATCATAATTTACAGTTAGCTGGATAGCATATGATTCTTTAAGAACAAACGTGTCGTAAATATAAAAATCCGATGTTCCGTTAATGGGGTTATTATGGCGACGCTAATGAATTAACTAAAACATAGCTACAAAGCGATGTTTATTTGTACCTCCTGCTTGGTTTTAGAAGTGTATCCCTGGACTGACTCGCGGGCCACCAAGGTCTCCAGAGCCTCCTGCACGGTGCGGATCTTCTCTGACTGGATGTCCAGCTGCAGGGTGAAGAAAGGCTGCAGAGTGGCCGACTCTTTAGAGTTTTGTTGATACACCACGGATCTGACAGAGAGACAAAACAGCAGGTTAGATAAGATAAGTGAAAGAGAACTAGGTTTATGATTTGAAGTTATTCAATATCAAAATAACTTATATCAACAACTTGCATTGCTCAGTGTTAAGTTTTTTCCACACATGTGAGATTTTATATCTCTTAATTGGCCAAGTTGCACTTTCGTCATGCTTACAAAGAGTATTATTATTGCATATGTAGCTCCTCAAGAATGAAAAGTCAGCCCTCTGGTATCATCAGATGACCTGTACTCTAATTAGTCGAGGCATATCCTGATGCAACATCTGATCCTATGCTTCCAATAAAAACAAAAAATGTAATTGGGAAAATTGTAACTGTGATCCACAAACCAAAAACTTCAACTAGTGACTGAGAAACCCAGAGATTATAACCATCTGAGTGGGCGTACACACCACACTGTAAACACACACTCTAAGACACGGTGCGACATGTGTAGACTAGGACTGTGCCAGACCAGAACCTCGTAAAACATTATTTAGGCAGTCTACACCAGGTTCTTTCCAATTTGTCTCAAAGTGAAAACCTTTGTTTGTGAATGTGTGCCCCACGTCTTGCCGTCCAGACTTCTGACCAACATCAGCTCAAGGAGAATGTTATTGTGAAGGACTGCGGTGACGGCAGGTCAGAAACTGGGGATTATTGTCAGACCTTTTCATGATGCCACTATCAACATGTCAGAGACTTCTAGGAAAAGGTGGCAGAACCAGCACAGGGTGTACAGACCAAGAGGGACCATTGTCTGGTACAGTGGGTGTATTAAAATGGGACCACAATCCATAACCAAACAGAGAATAAAGCTCTGTTATGACATGTCTCAGGAACAATGCAGAGAGAAATTAATCTCTAGCAAACAATACAAATGATTGAATCATAGCAGATCATTACTAAATCAAAAGAAACAAATGTTCCTTCTTCTATTCCGGCCTCTTGAGACAACAGCACAAGAGGCTTTCTGAATAAAACAAGAACTTTCTGTGCCACGCCTAGGAAGGGAGACTGTCATTTAGAAACACAGCTCCCATGGTAACGTGGACATCATTTTAGACAGCTAATCTCTAAATAATGCATTTACTGACATCTTCATATTAGCCAATACAAATCGATCATGAGCTCATCTTGAACACCATTTATGTTTCGCTAAGCTTGTACTGAAATGCCAGTGACTAACGTTTGGTGACAAAGTGTTATTTAACAGATCTTAAGGTAATGTGGTTTTGAAGCATATTTTTGCCTCTACTCACATTTTTAACACAACAATCTTTCCACAAACCTGATGTGTCCGCCAAATATGTCAGTGATGGGTGTGCGGACAAAGTCAGCTTGGCGAGTGATGGAAGTCTTGTTTCTGGGGCCGACTTGCTCCCACTCGTCCTCGCTGCCTTCTTCATCCTTATCAGCAGCGTCTTCCTCCACACCCGGCTGAGACTCCGGCCCGTTGGGTGTGGGAGCTTCTGCTCAAAAAACACAAGAAAAATCTCTTTAGAGACCAAATGATCCAAGTATCTCAAACATTGTTAAAGTTAAATCAACTCCTGATGAATCCAATGTCACTATTACAAGTTAAAGGAAATCCAACAGCACTTCAATTGATATTACAATAACCAGAGTATGATGAAAGTGTTATTTTAAACTTGTGAAAAGCTCATTACAGCTGAAATTTGGATGTGGTGTTGGAACTGGTTCATGTATCAACTTTAAGTTTTGGAGATTCAAACTGAAACTATATCAACTCCAACAAACAACGAAAACATTGTGAATGCATGCTTCAAGTCTGTGATGTAGCTTTGAGTATTAAAGCACAAGGTTCCTGAATTACAATTACACACAATAAATGTTCCTTGTTCTATTCCTGCCTCTTGTGATAACAGCACAAGAAGCTGTGGGAATAAAACAAGAACTTTCTGTACCACGCCTAGGAAGGGAGACTGTCATTTAGGAACACAGCTGCCATGGTAACGTGGACATAGTTTTACACAACTGATTAATAATACTGCATTTAATCATGTATACATATTAGACAAACATTGATTATAAGCATGTTTAAAAGTGCATCTTGAACATAATTTTTGTCTCATAAATGTATGTAACTCAACGCTTAACAATGGATAATACTGAACACTATTCAAATATCTATTAAAAGAAAAACTGTTTAAATGAACAGTATTTCCATATGCCTGTCTTTGCAAAACGAAGCTAAAATTTGAATTTGTTGTGTGCACATTTCATGTATATTGGGACACTGTTTAGCAAAGTTAACAGTCAACAAATGAAAGCTTAGCGCAAGTTCAATCAGGAAGACCAAGCTCTTCATTCATATTACACGTCACTTCATTACTCTCTCCTCCCTCATTAAGTGATCGGGGCGTCACTCCCCAGCTAACCAATCTCTCCTCTCTCCATTCTCACAAGCCTATCGTTGCACCCGCTAATCCCTTTATATCTGCTCTTCCCTCTTGTCAGCTGTCATTTCAGGTGACAATACGCAACCCTCCTCCACCCCTTTCGCCTCCTTCAGGACCAAGCTAAACCTTCTCCCTTCAGACCGGTCCCACCTACTTATCACCACCACCAGTGTCTAGACCCCGGGGGGTTTCATCGGAGCGATTCTTCCCCCTCCTGAATGATTATCCTGCAAACTGGGGCCTAATCGCCAAACACCATTCCATTCTCCTGTTATAATTCTGGCAATTATTATTACATTCATATTATGTGTCCCGGTAATAAATATGTATTTCATACATCAACGTCTCTCCTGATTGAACTTCCCTTTTTACGACTTCAGTAAATAACAATCTGCCTTGTTGCAGTTTGATCATGCAGAAAGTGATGCAATTCATCTTTAACTCCAACAGAGAAGAGCGATGAAGTACAAAAATGAATTAAACTAAACAATATCTGTAATGATCTTATCCTCCTTGCGATATGATGTTGATGCCGATGTGGTGAAAGATGCTTACTCTCTTCCTGAGGCGAGATTAGTTTCTTCAAAGCCAGCATCTCCTCATGCAGTCCGTTGAGAGTGAAGCCAAGATACTCCTCCGCATCCTCCTGACGACCCTGTGAGAGCCAGCGGGACATCAGCACCAATTAAAACACTATCAAGAATGCTTACAGTCAAATAAAACGTTACTTCACTGGTGGGGAGGTCTTGTGTACTCAATGTTAAACGATCAGTGTGCATACCATAGGAGCAACACATTTTAAAGACAGTATATCAAACCAGAAATCTGTTTAAACACAATAAATATTTTTCTCACATTCCCAAATACAACTATGAAAAACATATTTTACTGTCTGTGGCCTTTTTCACTGACATCAAGTCCCGCCCCTTCATGGAACAGCACAACCCTGGCCAGAGGTCGGAGAACTTCTACCAATATTGGGAATAACGGGGGCTCTATATGCTACATGTTGAATGGATATAAGTAAAATAAATTGATTTTGATTAAATAACATTTTAAGCTTAGATAGAAAGCATATGATTCGTTAAGGATAGATGCGTGTCGGAAATGTGAAAATCCGATACATTTAATTGACAAAGATAAGTCAATTTAAACAAATGTTCCTTGTTCTATTCCTGCCTCTTCTGATAAGAGCACAAGAGGCTGTGGGAATAAAACAAGAACTTTCTGTACCACGCCTAGGAAGGGAGACTGTCATTTAGGAACACAGCTCCCATGGTAACGTGGACATAGTTTCACACAACTGATTTATAATACTGCTTCTGATCATGTGTATATATAGATATATATATAGATATATAGATATATATATATTTTAGAAAAACCACATTGATAAGAATGTTTAAACTTGCATCTTGAACACCATTTTAGTTTCATAAATGTATGCAACTCAACACTAAAATTATAGTTAAACCCTTGTGTGCATGAATGAATGTGGAAACAGTCATTCCTTGAGGTTTTACACGTGAGAGCGTGAGCCTCATTAAATATCAAAAATAAACATTTCAGCTATTTCATTCATTAAAACTGAGTCGGAAATGACTCCGCATGTGTAACGCATGAACCACCTTTATTCAGGTGAGTTGTGAAATTCAGAACCGAAGAAAATGTATCAAAACATATTTAAACATGGACGTTCCCTTCAAGCACTATCTGTTCCAGAGGAAGTGCATTCAAAGAGTGTGATCATTAAAAAAAGATAAACACCACCCTGACACATTGCTATGCAGTGACTGTATCTGATGCAGAGGCAGCGTAGTTTACCTTCTCAGAGAGACTCGACTTGATGAGAGTGAGCAGTCTGTAAATGTAGGTGGGCTCAAAGGGGGACCCAGGCCGAACGTCTTTCATGACTTTTTCACCAACAGCTGTGGGCAGTTACAAATCATACATCAGTGATGCTTACAGAACATGAATTTAAAAAGTCTTTAGACATGTCTTCTAATGTCTTACCTTGCTGTTTGGCTTTAGATGGGACAGGCATGTTGTTAAACTCATTCACCAGCCTGACACTGGGAGAGACACAGAAACCATGGTTATGTTCCCGAGCAAAACAAATGATAGTCATTTGATATCATCGTGCAGAAATGCTACTTACAAGTTGTCCATCATGGGTGTGGAGGTACATGGTCTCTGCGTTTCGTTATGCAGAGGAATGGACTTCATCAGGTGATACATGGGGGGGCATGCAATCAGGGCTTGTAGGGTCTGAGCGTTCAGAGTTAGGGAGGAAAAAACAGAAAACTAAAGGGTATACGACAAGCTGCTGTGATATGTGTAATCTGATACCAATGGATGAATACATTATAATTTGAAAACCCCAGTTTGTTTTGTTGCTCATAAAATTGATGTCTTGAAATGTTTTTTCCTAGTCTTACTTAATCAAATCATTATTCATAAAGGAACACCAGACATTGATAACATGAAGTGCCTAGGCAGAGCTGAAACTCACTCCTCAGCAAGTGTTGAAACACACACCAGCTTTCCAGGGACTTGACACCATTTGTCCTCTGTGCTATTGGGCTTATAATCAATATAAGAGCAAGTTCTGTTACCCACAGCCAACATATACACGTGTTAACAGAGTGTTGAAGTGTGCAGGGGCAGCAAAAGGCAGAGTGAAAGGATACAGCGTTGATATAGCACCAGTTTCCCTTGTTGATCAGTCCTCTCGGCTGCAAAGACACTGGTTTATGTATCAACTTCACATTCTCAATAAGTTCTGGGGATTCAAAAAGACACAATGTTACAACAGGTAGCCCTGAAAAACTCAAAACGACAAGAACAAAAACAATCAAAAAAAGACTTATTTTGAGAGTGCATACTTTCTGCCTGTGAATATTACAGGCGATCAAAAAGTAAATTTAAACAAAACAAATGTTCCTTCTTCTATTCCCGCCTCTTGAGACAGCAGCACAAGAGGCTGTGTGAATAAAACAAGAACTTTCTGTGCCACGCCTAGGAAGGGAGACTGTCATTTAGAAACACAGCTCCCATGGTAACGTGGACATAGTTTTACACAACTGAAATATAAATAAGGCATCTAAGGAAATACAGATAAACAGTCAAAGTTAATCGTTAGTACGTTCATTGTTTACATCATGTTTTCGTAAATGAACCTAGCTTAACATCAGACTGAACACTATCAAATAAAAACTGCTTAAATCACAGCATTCAAAACAGCGGGGACACATCTTCATGTAATATCCTTGACGATAACAGTCTTTAGTCTCATTATGCTCCCAAATACATTTTTGGGGGGGGCAATGTGACCCACTGGTGCTTTCAATACATGCACATCTAGTTCTTTAACATTTCTGGAATTGACTGAAGGTTGTGAAGCTAAGGAAATCTGTTTCTGCAGATAAAAATGAGCCTAGTTTCTTGGTTCCTAAGAAAAAGGGAACACACTGTTTTAGAACACCCAATACGGGCTGAACAGCTGACAAGGAGACAGTGTGCTGACAGTGATCCCTATTGACTACACAGGTTTGCTTTCAAAGTGGAACTCAAACCAAAGTGTTTGGGTGGACAAACAAATAGTCTCTGGTACATTTCAGTGGTTTTCTGAAAGAACAACTGTACAGCAACCCAAATGTGTACATACATGCAGAATGATCAGGTTATTCTAAACAGAGACATCTCCAAGTATTGCTTCTAAAAAAGGATAGAGCGCCGCACAGAGACAAAAAGCAGTTCAGAATAACGAGACACAGCAAAATACTTCAGAGGGTAATGTTTCCGTTTGCAAGCTCTTAAATTACTGACCCCAGAAAGGATCTTAAACTCTAAGTGACCTGTCTCCACATGAAACCAAACCACAATTAGTTTGGTCCAATTCTATTTTCTGACACAACCTTATCACCTGGGACAGTTTTGAATAATTTTGTATTTTCCACTTGAATGAATGTTGAAGCTAAAGTATGTGTGGCTGCTGTGTAACACAGAAATAGAGTATAACATATTATTTCCCTTGATCTTGAAATATCACAATTGCATCGACAAGATGACATCGTAATTCCAACAAGATCAGAGAAATAGAGAGATCTGTGCATTAGCTTTGTGTAGAGAACATTCCTGTGTTCAAAAAGGTGTTAGCAGTCCCATGCTACCTCTAATAGTTTTGGCTAATGAGATAGGTGGGTTACATAAATGTGACTAAAGACTTCATATTTGACAGTTATTCTGGATGCAATACTACCATCTAGTGTTCATTTCTTGAACACGAGTGCAACATTTCTGTATACCATTCCCAACATTATTAGGCAGCCTAAACTTAATAAACAAAGATAACATTTAAATATGATTATAACCTACAGAATCTTAAGTTTGGTCACTTATCAAGCCTACTCTTCTAAAACATAAAATGTTTAAAACCTTAATCCCACATAGGATCACAGAGTAGAAACAATACAGATGTCTCAACATTGCTCCCTAGTGGAGGGAGAAAGAATGCAAAACACTTAAAGCTGAAACAACATGAAACAGGTGTTATAGGGCCATCTTCTAGGAATAAACAATCAGCAACTTCAAATTATACCTGCAAGTTTAGGGGCCATAGGATCCTCTGAAACGTGGACAGGGCCGACTTTGACCTCCCCAACTTTCTCAGGCTCCTCTGGCGTGGCGATGGAGGGAGACACAACTTCCACAACATTCTTTACCTCCACAAAGGCCTGCGGGCCCCCGGGCAGAGGCTTAGAGTTTTTGAAGAGGCTAGCCCAAGATTTGGGGAGGTTGGCAGTAGGTGCAGCTGGAATGGCAGGCGACTGGGCCTGCTCTGTCACTACTGTCTGGGCAGCAGAGTCTGGGGAGAGCGGCTGGGCCGGCTCCCCCGCCTCAGAGTCTTCTTTGAGTTCATCTGCACTGACAGGAGCCTCAGCCTCCGCTAACCCATTGGCCACCCCGCTGTCCGCCAGCTCCCTGTCCTCCAGTTCAGTAGTCGTAATGGGAGTGGCAACAGAGAGGGTGGCCACAGCAGCTGAAGGAGTAAGAGGGGATTTAGAGCGGGGGCTGTTGGGAGTATCTGAAAGTTCGGGGCTCTGTGGAGCCAAATAATCTGGCTGCTGATCTGCAGTCCTCGGCCCCTCTGACATCCCCCTGCTCTGAGAGGAGGATGAAGAGGAGGAATTTGCATTGTTGCCATCTGATAAAGAGGCAGCTCCAATTGTTAAGTCCAAAGAAGAGTCATCAGGGCTATCACAAGTCCTCTGATTGGCAGTGGATGTGGGGGCAAACTCGGCTGCTGCCACAGCAGCTGTTGATGTTGCCATGGAAACCGGTGCCGGGGTGGAAAGTTCAGCCCCCAACAGCACCTTACCGTCCACATCTTCAGCACTGTGCGGTGGGCCACCAATGGCATGTCCGTTAACTAGCGCTGCCACAGGCGACCCGTCTGGTGCACAGCTGCTGTGGCCGTGGCTGTGGCCGTGGCCGTGCCCGTGCCCGTGGCCACCGCCGGCCGACGGGTCCAGGTAGCTGTAGTACCCAGGCGGTCGCTTTTTCTTTTTCTTCTTTTCCCGCTGACCCAGGCTGCCAGGTCCGTCCATGTCCTGGCAGGCCTGATTGTCCAGGGCTGAGGCCTCAGAGTCAGGGCCGGCCTCCGAGTCAGGACCGGCCTCCGAGTCAGGACCGGCCTCCGAGTCAGGACCGGCCTCCGAGTCAGGGCCGTCCAGCGAGTTGTAGTCTGCTCCGTCAGTGACATCATCTGCTGGAGGAGGCGTCTGCTGAGCCTTCTGGGCCGACTGGCAGCCCAGGATGAACTCTGGAGCCTGCGGGTTGAGGGTGCTCGACACCTTGAACAAAGGATCGCTCCCCCCGACGGGCTTGGAGTCCATCACCTCGTCAACACCAAACTCTATGCGCTGATAGTCTTCTGCTGCAGATAAAAGGAAAACCAATTAGAAACACAAAGCTTTGTCTTCAAATACATCCTGAAAATGTCCAAACAGAGATCGTTGTAGTTTAGTCTCTGCTAAAGAGTTTGTTAGAAAAATATTTTATTGAAGAATTGACATACAATCCTTATTTCTGAGGCTTCACCCAAAAGGGGTCATGGGAGCTCTGCCAGGATCACATACCAATAAGAAGAAACAAATCCTGCTGCTACTATTTTTAGCTCCAACAACTACTGTTGTGCGTCTACGCTCAACTATGCCACATTCTCTCTGGCCTAAGTGGATCCAAGGAATGTGGCCAACATATCCAACAGTGGGGAGATTCAACGATTAATTAAGTTGTTGCTTGTCTGACTTAGAAAGATGTGACAAATGTATTTAGTCCTGGATCATGTCACCTTTCATTTCTTTTTTAGACTAACCAGACACGTTTTCTTTTAATCCAACATGTCATGGCAGGGTGCAATTGTATATCATTGTAGATTGTAGACATCTAATGACACTTACATTTATGTAAATTGAAGAGTACATTAAATGAACTGCATAACTTTTATGTATTCTGATAATTTATATCTGATCAATATACGATATCCTGGTTTGGCAATTTATCTCAAGTTGAGTTCATCTGTTACTTGGAAAACTCAATTATCTCTTTTTTATTCAATAAATAATAAATAAATGTATTTTGATAAAGCCTTATGATGTACATCTATATAAACATCTTAAAAAATGCATACTGTTAATATTACAATTTTAGTATTTGACATCAAATCTAGAACAACAATGTATAAAAACACATCATTACAAAACTTTTTTGTTAAAATGTGTTGCATGTAAGCTCAAATAGTAAATGATTATGCAGAGGTGCAAATGAAAAAAGGTGAACAAACAGGAAACATTAGTAAGAGCAAATCAGAAAATCATCAAAGTGGCAACAGCTGACTGCTGGCCCAGACTGTAAACCCTGATGTTCTGCAGGCGTTAGGAGGGTTTGAAAACAGTGGTAACTTCTTCAACTGGGATTAGAACATCTCCGGTTAGTGATACTGAAATCACACTTCATGGCTTTAATTGCATTCAGTAGTAAAAACCTAAACAATGCACGGCTAAATATGTACACACATGTTAGCAATCACAGAAAACCATCACTATGCCCTTAAGCAGTGATTGTTAAATCAAACAAAATTCAGTTTTAAAATCAACTTGGAGCCCTGCAGTGGTGAAAATGCATTTTATGCAAGAGAAGATAAGATACTTTATAGTATCTTGAGCATGCAAAGCTCTACAGATTTTACCAACAGGCAAGAGAAAGAATACAGGTGTAAGGTTTAGAAAGCCACCAGTTTTTGAAACCTGGATTTTGAGTTTACAGCAAACGTACAACAGCTAGTCAAGCCACATGGTGTCAGACTCCTCAACTCACCGCAAACCTGCAGTCCCATAGACTCCATAATATAAGGTACAGCAGGAGTGCAGTAACTTCCTAAATAATCAATACAAATCAAGGTAAGGCAATTGTCATGTGCAAACGGGTACCATTTCAAAGACAGGTGGCTGCTATTACATTTCTAATTTGGTGGATCGAAATTTAAAGAATGAAAATGGCTGACGTAATCTTAAAATACTAGGATATGTAATCCTATCTGAACAATATAAACTGTTATGTATTAATGAATTCAAAAATAATCACATGAAAAGCATCTCCCTGCTAGGCAAGGCAGGTCAGTTGAGCCTGGGCTTCTATCTTACATCTTAAGACCTGCTTTGAAAAACTACAGTGATTTCAACAAAAAAACATGAGAATAGTCTTTCGATGCTCATAAAATGTCAAAGGAAAAAAAGACAGTGTCTAGCAATTTAGTGATTGTAAAGTGTACATACCAGAAGACTGACTGACGCACGGGGCTTTGTCATTGAACGGAGGAAGCTGTGTGGAGGCAAAATGCAAAGTTAAGGGTTTGAAAAGGGCATCTAGAAATTCAACCGTATAAAATCAGCATTCTCAAAGATATCAGTCCTAGTTGACTAAAAATGTATATTTGAATAAAACGATGATGTTGTGCTAAATACTTTTATCAAAGAGCTTTGGGCCTTTGAGGTACATCCTCCAGAGATAGTGACTTAACATTTTCGAATAAAAAATCTCAAAGGAATTATATTTAGATCTTTCTTGAAACATTGATTACCGAGGTTTAATATGCAAGATGATTATCAGGACTATTCAAAATGGTAAAAACCAAAATAGACCATTTAATCATAAGCAATAACTAATGTAAGGCCTAAAAATGGCTTCTTGAGCATTTGTAAAAACATTTGACAGGGCCAACCTAGAGCCTCAGTTCCAAATCTGTGTATTAGGATTAGTGTGTTGGTCAAAATGTGAATAACATTTCAAATGAGTCGTTTCTTCCTGCTGGCCAGTAAGGCCATCAGAGTTATAAGGTCAACCATTATGGCCATCATTGTAACACTGATTTATTAATGTTGAAACAAATTGTTATCCGGCTGCTCACCTCGACATAACATCGTGGAGTCACGAAGAACTGATTGATCTCATCAGGGCTGAACTCCCCGAAGATGTACTGTGGGAAGGAATCAATAAAACCATTAGTTTGAAGGAAGGCAATGATGGAAAAATGTGCTTTTCTCAAAATATATATTTTCTTTTTATGAGGCAATTTCAAAATTAGAAAACGGGTCTTCAATGGCCTGAAAGCCCTTTAAAGAGTCACAAACCTTCAGATCACCGATACATCTAAATAAAAGATTAAAATTAAAGATTGAATCAAGTTAAAAGTCAAACTATATTCACGGTTAAAGACAGGGCCTTTCACCTCATAGCCTGAACTAATTTTAAAAAGGGGAACAGTCATTGGATATCTGAGCACACGGGCTCTTACTAGAGTAAGTCATTACCCAGCCAAGAGTGCAATGCTTGTGCAAAGGTAAGGCACAGCAGAAAGTGATGAGTCATGCAGAGTTATACATAAACCATGGCCACAAACAGCTCAGATTTGTTTCCAGAGCCATTTGCTTTTGTTGTTTTGAGTTGTTAACACAAAACAACCTCATCCCCAAAACACACCAAAGCAGTGGTATGAATGCTCGTAACGTTATGTTCTTTTTTGGCAGAATAAAACAAACAATGCTGTCTGAGCCTTTTAGATGGCAAAGACTTTTGACTTGCATGCCTGTGATAAATAAACTAAATGGATCCAGAGCGTTTCTGCTTACTAGTTCTCCTTATGTTGGATGTAATTTGTTAGCAATAAATAAGTGATTAATCAAATACTCAAGATAACAACATGGCTTAATGCTGGCATACTGAACACAGTTCTCAGAGATACTTGTTCAATCAGTAACACCATAAACAGAAGGCTTACCAACTATGATTTAGTTCTGCAGGGGTAGTAGATTGTGTTTGTTTATTTTATAAACCACTTGCATCAATGTGGGAATAACTATATTTTTCTTTCTGACTAAAAATGAACTTCAAACAAGTTACACGGCAAACTTTAGTTGTTTAAAATGATCTGGAGCACCACTATTTGTCCTGGTATGTCATGTTAATATCAGCAGGCAACAACACTAGGTACTAATCCACTGCAGTGTTGCCTAGAAAGTGCGTATAATAGAGATGTATTACAGCTGTGAAATTGCCAGTGAAAACCCTGGAAAACTCAGTTCACATTTTCTTAAGTAGACCTGCTAGATAAAAAAAGAAAGAAGATATATATAAAGGTAATGAACACTGACTGAAAAAAAAGGACGAGGAATGATACAGTTGACAGAAAACAATGCAATATTGCTGTAACCTCATGTTGCATTATTTATCATATTCATGTAGAACATTAACTCAAATGTTTATTACTCAATTATAAGAAAGACATTTATTCATATTTCATTTTTTTTTTTTATTAACTTTGGTTGTGCTACACACCTGACAGATGAGCATTACACCTTAAGGGGAAAAACTGCACTGTGCCACCTAAAGTGTTCACATGTGCATACTAAACAGAAAGCGACTGAGAAAAGGTGAAATGACCTCACTAGCCACACCGTTAATCCTCAGTGCAATAAACAGTGGGACGTGAAAGGGGAGGCACAGAGAAAAGAAAGTGCAGCTCAAGCACATGTAACTCTTTGCAAACGAGGCCCCACGCGAGGGCCCACAGTGCTGAACCGGCACTATGAGCGACAAACAGCCAGCAGTAATCCAATGGCCTCAGGACGGCTAGTACAATCACAACAGAAAGAATGTCCCTTTGCTGCTTTCTGCAGGCGTGCCACTCGCACCGCACTAAGCTTCCCTGGCTGTTCGTTTGGATTGAGGATTACAACAAATTAGCCAACTGTATGATTTCCATACAGTTTAGTGACGACACCCCGAACACAGACATAGGACGGGCTCAGCATAACATTGAGCAATGTTTGATAAGCTTTACTGCCTATGTCTCATAAGAACAGGCAGCAAGCAATTGATTTTGTTTTATAAATGATTATCATTATTGACACTGACTTAGAGATTTTTCAACTCCTTACTGATAAGGCAAAGATACGCACATTTTATTTTCAGTTACATTACAGTGGTAGCAGCAGCATCCAAAATGAATCAAATTTTTACTGAAATCCTTAGGTAAAAAATTAATGTTCTGCAAAAAATTAAGTGAGAAAGAAAGTGTCAATTGACCCATGAGTCTACAAAGAATCATCGTTATAGCCGTTGACCTGCTGATTTAAAGAAAGGGTTAGCGCCAAAGTTATCAACAGCTTAGGCTAACTTAAGTTGAGCTGACCTTTAAGTTGGACCTGCTATTCTCTGCTTAGCGACAAGATGATCCTTTGAGTTTTTGCAGAAACATATGCTTTAGCTTTCCTTCTCGTTGTTGATCGGTTTGATATATGGTATTTTCTCATCTAGATGGGCGTGTACTATTGCTGATCAAATGCATTCATTGTCTTGTTTTTCCATTACTGTGTTTGTATACTGCAGACACTGATGTCCAAGGCACGTTTCCCCCTGGGACAATAAAGTCTATCTTATCTTAAACTGACTGTCAGGACAAATCTATTATCTCAAACATGTGGCAAAACGTAATAACATAAATCGTGACATTTAGTATAATTAAGCAATCTTCAACACCTGGTGCACAAAGCAATGACCTTTTTTTATCTAAATCCCATATGTTGGCCTCAGCATAAGATCGGACTTTATCTGCCTAACCGTAGGCAGGGTGATAATTAATTTGCATGTATTGTCTGTGCTGAAGAAAATTGGACAGAGTAATTTCTTATTTAATGTAATATTTATAAGGTAGTGGAAGATAACTTAATGGATTTATGCGTGAACAAGGACAAGAGACATTCAGTTTGAGTTTAAGTATTGATGACAAAGTATTTTTTCAGCATCAACGTTTAAAAAGACTAATTGTATCAGCCCTAAAAAGGTATGAACAATTGATTTCTGAAAAGGTTGTACTTAACACTCTACGAGACACTTTTTTGTAGTATGACTCGGTTATCACACCCCAATAAACTAAGTGCTCCAACAATCTGTTTACTCTAACCATGACAGGGATACAGCCAGCTCTACTATGCCCGTTCTCTTAAATTGGTATGCAGAGTTATTAATGGACAACTTGGCTGAGCTGGAAAAAAAGCTGCAGCGAGACTACATATAAGGTCAGACTGGTTTCTCCGGAGCATGCCTGTGCCGGCGTGATGTAGTAATAGGGTGACATGATTATTACAAAGCATGAAATACAGAGAAGTTTGAAAATGGAAGAGAATGGAATTCCTGTCATTCATTCTGCTCGAGGGCAAGTGCTTTCACAACGGCTGTAGTTTGTGATCCAGTTGAATTTGATTGTGTTACACTGTGAAGTGTTTCTTATGTTTAGTCTGCTTGTACTGACATAAATATGGTGGCTCTCTGCTTTCACTGTTTGTCATTTTTTTTTTTTTGTAAAGCTTCAAAGCTGGGTCAATAAACAGAACATTATTAATTGTAATTCATAGCACAAAATGACAAATGCCAGTTTGTGTTGTACTACTGATTATCCACTGGTTCTGGAAAGGGTAACATGATACTCAAAAAAATAATTTATTTTTGGATATTAAGTCTTGTTTATAATGCGTGTTGTAAAAGTAGGAAATGTGGCCTGTGGGTGTGGCCTGATGGAAAATCAGGGAATCTCATTAAATGTCGGGATTCAAACCACTGGCACAATGAATGTCTGCAGTAAATGTAAAGACCACCTATTCATTGAGATACTTGGATTGTATGGTTACAATCCAAGTATCTTGGATACGTATGGACTTAAGTAGCATGACTAGACTACTGCTTTAGAATTTGTCTTTACACTTTCTTGTGCGTTTTAGTGTGCATATGACTAAGCTAAATACGTTAATTATAGATTTGTGTGTGCATACAGTGCATAATTTTCCAACAGGAATACAGATTACTATCCCACTCACAGATTTATGTTTTGGCAGGACATTAGGCTGAACTAAACGGAGACAAAAAAAAAAGGGACGATGCCACAATAAGCTTCACTTGGGCAACTTATTACAATAAAAATAGAGAGTATGGTTTACTCTGAAAACGTCTCCATGTTGCATTGTTATGCTCTGGAGAGAAGATGCATGCATTGAGAAGAAGCTCCTTCTTCACACCATACTACAGTTGCATTGTTCAGTGTAATAACAAAATGTCCCCTAAATTAAATGGATCGTTTGTGTTTTCATAGTTTTTGGAAAACAACACGTCTGAGGCTTAAGTTATAACATTAAGTTTACAGTTAGTTAAGGACCATCTGTTTTAAAATTAACAAACAAAGTGAAACATGGCTTATAAAGTTTAAAAAAATTAAATGCTAGTTTTTCTATTTATATTGGGTACTTAAAATCCTGCATTGGCCTTACTGAATGTCAAAAAACATAGTTATTGTTACCTAAATGTAATAATGAAAGTCTTTATCTACCTCACCTGTTTATTAACTTTTTTTTTCATTCATTTGGAATTACTTATGTCATTTTTGACAGAGAAAATCCATGTGACAGCAACACTCTTGTATAAAACTATAACAGAGAGAGTGAGCCATTAAAAAAAACCTTCTGTAACACTGTAAAAATGGTTGCCAAATGGGGCAACCAGACCAAACTAAATAGTTGACATCGGTCCAAATCCGGTTGCCCCAAGAAACTGGTCAACTGGAAATGTAGAGCCCTGTTGGCGAATACTTAATTAAGGCCATTTAAAAAAGGTTTAACTTATTATTCATATTATATTAAGCAAGACTATGCACCATGCAAGGATAATTCAATGTCAATGGTTCCATATTATATATAATATTTAATTTCACATGCACAGACTTGACTGTGTTGAGGAGCCGAAGCGGTTATTCCCCTGAAACTTTCACTTTTGCTTAACAGCGAGCCAATAGAAACACTCAATTTCGAAGGCAGGAACAAGTGTGAAAGCATGGTGAATATAAGCCTATGGAAAGCTCCAGTTTTTGAGTTGTCAATTTGATCCAAATGTATCCTTAGTTTAAGTTTCATTTATATTGTTGTGGAATTATCTGCTAGTTCAACTTCAATTCATGCAATCAATATACACTTTAAATCTGTCATGTATCTGCATGCATAGCTACACTTCAAATCGGGCCTCCCCACATGATAGCCAACTTCCTCGGAAATGTCACCAAATTAGCCAATTTATCTTTAACCTAAAGCAACACGGAGACTCGCGGTGTAACAGCACACTAATCTGCAGTGTGGCTCATTTATGTATTTTAGTTATTTGCATATCAAATACATCTTCGCTATCAATTTAGGCCCACACTGTCGCATTTGAATGTAGCTAACTAGCTAGCGCACTGAATGCAAAGTGTAACCATACCATCTGTGCAAAGCTGTTAGCTTGCTAAGTGCTAAGAGCACGGCGAGACATTGTTACATTGTCTTACGTATTAAGGGAAATGATCACACGAAAAACATCCCACAACACCGTCATTATGTTGCCTTACTGCCAGGAGCAAGAGTAATTTGAAGTTATTACTCGTTATTAAAATGTGCGCTGGGGGAAGGCCTGTCGCAGCACAGAGCAGGTGGGCCATGCATACACGCAGCAGTTTTCAGTGTCGCTTAGCCTTGGGAAAATAACACATGTCACTGACTGGATCTAACGCCAAAGTGTCACCAACATTAGATTAAACACACTTTCATGACATTAAGCTAAACGTGTCTGTCATATCTGTAAAAACAGCTGCAAACAGTACTGCCGTCTCATTTGAATGAGGAGACCTAGGGCCTGTTAGCTACCATGCTGGTGGAGTTTCAATGGGGCTTAGGGGGGCATTAGCAAGCACTTTTCAGTTCTTACGTTTTCAATGACACGACCAGTCGGATGTTTCAAATAACAACATGCAAAAGACAAAATTGCTAATACAGTATGGGGACTATTTGAAGTCATACGATTGTACAAGGTAGGGGCGGCTGCGAGCCTCTAAATAACGTTATCAGGCGTGCATCAGGGGTTGTTTTGCAGGCTAACGTTAGCCAGCTAGCTTTAGCTACCTGGTTGCTGTAAGAAGCCATGCTCCCGGTGAGATTTTCTCTCCTCCGCTGACAAGATGAAAACTCTCCCGGGAAGGTGTTGTAGGTGTGTAGTGACCGTTACAGAGGGTGTCCTACTTCGACGTCATTGTCATTTTCCCAACCGTGTCCTGGCAGTTGTAGGTTTTGATCCATGTAATGCATCAGCACTTCATGCTGCTTGCCTTGCCGTCACCGCCATTTCTGTCTCTTCCTCGCTTGCTAGCCAACCCAGCGCGGTCAGTCGGTTGTAGTGGCAGCGTGAGCTCAAGGAATACCGTCAAACACTTCCGGTGGGGGGTTTTCTCCCGGACTTCACAATAAAAGTCTTCCTCTTTAACCATAAATAATCCCCTCCTGTGATGTATCTTTAACCTGTGACTTCGATGTGTGGACAGTGGTGTGAAGTAGCTAAAACCATTTACTAAGTACATTTAAGTACTGTCATTAAGTACACTTTTGAGAGACTTGTACTTTACTCGAGTATTTCAATTCTTTGCTACTTTGTAGTTCTATCCCACTACAATTCAGAGATGAATTGTGCACTTTTACTCCACTACATTCATTTAGCACCATTAGTTACTTAGCACATTTTTATCAATGATTTGAATTGTATTCAACTCTTAAATAATACTTAAGTTCCACCTGGAGTAACATTCACAAGCTACCCTGCAGCATACAATGTAACGTAAACTAGCTGCACCTTTACCAGCTCTGATGCATCAACATTTATAATCAAAATATGTGATATATTATTCTGAAATGGGCCAATTTGCACAATAAATTCTTTGAGATGAAGTTTAAGTGACATTTATTTTGAAATGTATCAGTGCTTCAGAGGAAATACTGAAAGTGATGCGTGGACTACTAGCGCGAGCTTTACGGTTGAAGCGTGACCGCGTGTGCTGTGTGCGTTCACGTCCGGGTTGGGGCATGAATCGCAATTTTTTGGGAAGTACTGTAAACATAATTTAAACCCCTTTAAAAAAAAATACACTTTCCGTTTTTTTTTTAACTATTTTGAAAATAATTGGGTCATATAATACTTTGTTCAAACTGACAAATGTATTGAATGTAGTGGTCTGTTAATAAACAATATATAAAGTAAATACATTACAGTACAGAACAATACTACATATGGGTCTACATAATTCCAACACACTGGAAAATAATATACATTGGGAACAGAAGTCTAAAAACGTAACATTTGAAATACAATTGTTTTTTTAAACCCATAATGAGCTCCAAACTAATGGGCGTGGCACAGAACAGGTGAGGGGGAGGAGAATAAAAACTCACACACAGGAAGTTAAGACAGGTGGGCTGAATTTTTCTCGGCATAAAAGAAAACAAGATCACATTGTGCACGGAATCCAAAGGTAGGAAATAATAATGTGGCTTTTTATTATTCATGAGCCCAGAAACGTTCTTAAACTACATAATGGGCTCGAAACACGAATGAACTAAGTAAGACCTGCGCTGATATGTCGGCCTTTTTACAGAATAAGTTACCTTGTTGAAATAAAAAAACGTATGCTAATCACGTGAAAGTATGATTTAGTGTGTTTCGATTGAGTAGGCCTATGATAACATTCAATTGTCTTCCTGAAATGTATTTTGGCTCCCAAATCACTATTACCTTTTGCCTGCCAGCCATTTTACTTTATGAAGAAACCGGTTTCTGTCTCTGGTCCTTCAATTTAATCTTCATTAAATAATCCTTCATGCTGCTTTACTGTCCATAGTGGCAGTTACAGAGATACAAGTCAGCTATCCACTTTGTTTATGAGTGTGTGTGTAAAAGGATTCATGTCCATAATAGTCCTCTTGTTTATGCAGAGGAAGATGCCGGAGAGGGGGAGACACCACCAGAGGAGTGAGGAGTATGATGAGTACAAGAGTAGGGACAGGGACAGGGACAGAGACTACTCTCACAATGGAGACCATGCGTCTTATGAAGACAGAGGACGCAACCAAAAGCCGAGAGACAGAGAGGAGAAAAGCTCTGCCGGTGACAGGAGGCCAAAACAAAACCGACAGAGGGACGTGACAACTGCCTCTCACAATGAGCCACCTGTTTACAGAGACCACAGCCATGAAGGACCCTCAAGACTGTAAGGGCCCGAATACTTTCAATACACTTACTGTCATGTCTTTCACACACACTTTCCGCCATCTGTGGCAGAGGGGTTTTTTATTTACATTTTTGTGTAAAATGACATGTAGAGATATAATAAATGTAATGTGTTTGTCTTTTTAGGTCCAGAGAGACTCCAGTATACCAATCTGAAGCGGAGGAGTATTATGAGCCACAACAAAAACATGCTCTTTACAATCTCAAATACATCTTAACCAGCAGAGGCAAGTATGGGATCATTTCTAAACAAACACTGTTTAAATCACTTACAAGTAGTCTGCTCATAGTGTTACAACTGGGCCTTTAATACATGGCAAGTATGGATTTCTTGCTCAAAAAACTACTTAACTACCATAACCCTTATTTTATGAATATGTTTGTCTTTAGAGTTTGGCATTGATATCCTACACTTTATTTTCAGGCCTGTTAAAAATGTAGAAATGCACTGAAACCACTGCCAAGATGTGTGCTTAGTAGTTGTTTACAAATACAGCACATTACTGTTTTAGGCTATAGCCTTATTATAATCTGAACTACAATTTGCCATATTTTATATGGAATAGGTTCTGTACTGTATTGAAGTGTATGCATACAGTCATTTATTTTATAGAAATTGGAAAAGCCGTTGAAACACCTGTGCTCTATTTTAAGACAGTCAATACAACTGGTTAAATAGCAAAGCTGTCCCTTTTTGGCTTTATATTTATGTTATACATGTCCATATATCTTAGATGGTAATCTGCATGATAAATAAAGAAAAGGGAATTATATTTTAAATAATATTTATAATAATCATCCACTTATAGTGAATACATTTTACCTGGGAAAACGTCATCGCTATAAAATGATTTCCTTTTTTTTTAATCAATATCAATAATGAATGTGGTAATTTACAGTTGACAATACCAGCAAATATTGACATTTTAGTTTAATTTTATTTTCAGCTCTAGTCTCCTCATGTTGTTGTACATTAATGTCAGTATTTTGATGAAGACAGTCACTTGTGGAGTACCTCAGGGTAGTTGTTTGGGACCACTTTTCTTTTCTATTTTTACAAATGACCTACCATTAGTGTTAGAAAAAGCCAAAATTGTAATGTATGTAGATGATTCAACAATATATTATGCAGCATCGACTATAAGAGAGTTGACAAATGTTATGAATAAAGATCTACTACTGATATCAGAGTGGGTCATAAATTATAAGTTAGTAATTAATGCTGGAAAAACAAAATCTTTATTAATAGGATCAAATCATCAGTTAAAAGGTGAACCCAAATTGCAACTACATTTAAACCATATTCAAATTGAACAGGTCAAGGAGACAAAATTGCTAGGTATAACCCTGGATCATAAATTATCTTGGTCTAAACAAATTGATAATGTTGTATGTAAAATGGGAAGGGGTGTGTCACTTGTAAAAATAATTGTAAAATATTTGCCAATAGATGTCAGTAGACAAGTTCTGGATGCTTTGGTTCTGTCGCAGCTTGATTATTGTTTGGTTATATGGTCTAGTGCTGCAGAAAAAGATTGAACCAAACTACAAGTAGCACAAAATAAGGCAGCACGTGTGCACTGCAGTGCTCCCACAGAACCAGAGTAACTGAAATGCTGGAGAAACTCAAATGGTTAAGTGTCAGACAGAGGTCAACTTATATTTTGTTACATTTTGTCAGAAATATTACAGTGACTCACTCACCACATATATTACCACAAAGGTTTATAGCGCAGTATGCTAAACACAACTATCAAACACGACATACAATATAAGGAAGGTTTGTATTACCCAAATCTAAATCAAATATGGGACAGAAAACAGTCATGTACAGAGCCATGGTCAGCTGGAACTCTTTACCCGTCCATATCATTCAAGAACATTCTCAAGTACATTTCAAAAGGTTGCTAAAAAATTATTTAAGTATTATAAAGTAAATTTGAACTGTGGCTATGTATGCATATATTATTATGTACACTTATTTGTATTTACTTTTGTTTGGCCTTAGGATGGCGATAATTGGATGACCATTTTATTTTTCAATTCATACAGCACTGTAAATTGCATGAAATTATGAGCTGTTTTGTTTTAATTTTGTTGTATGCATGTTTATGTATGTTTTGTGTGTGTGAGGACCCCAGGAAGAATAGCCAATGCTCATGCTAGTGCTAATGGGGATCCTAATAAAGACATAAAGACATATTGTGTTGCTCCCAGGTATCTGCCAGCTCATGGAGGTGTTTGTGAATCTGCTTCTCGTCATCTGTGCGGGGGTGCCGTACAGCAACAACGGGGGCTACAGGGACCTGGCCAGCCTGGGAGGAATCTACTATTATCACTTTGGTGGAGCCAACGCGTTCACTGGAGCCGATGCAGACCGAGTGAAGGAGCTGGACGTGCTGTTCCATCAGCTGAAGAAACCTCCGTATGTCTTCACCATGGCCTGCGGGGGGGTTATAATGTTCTACGCCTGTGTCATGCTCGGCCTGGGGATTTTCAGGGTCCCTTACCGCTTCCCCCCTGTGCTGCTGGGCGAGGCTCTGCTGAATGTCCTGATCGGCCTGGGCTACATCCCCGCGCTGGCCTTCTACTTTATTAAGCTGCAGCAGACCTACAACGACCCCATCTGCACGGAGAGAGAGCAGATGTACAAGAGCAAAGGCCACAAGGGATTCGAGTGCCAGTTCCACGGTGCAGATATTGCAGGAGGTCTCTTTGCGGTGTTCGGGGTGTTTGTTTTCATCTTCGGTGCAGTGTTAGCTGTCAAGGCGTTCAGGGCAGTGAGGGAGCTGAAGAAGCAGAGGACAAATGAGGACAATAATCTATAAAACTATTCTTCTTGCCGTATTTGAACAAAAGTGGGATGGATTAGAAAATCCCTGTGACAAGAGCTTTGTCATATTAGGTGTTAATGTGTATTCATCTGTGAGTCAGCTTTTTTATCCACTTTTTATATTTTACAGGAGTATTTATTTGATTTTGTAGAATACTTTTTTAATCCTAGCAATGTCCAGTTTACATGTGTATTGTTTCTGTTACATTTTCTATAATAAACCACTCAAACTGTGCATTTGTATTACTCATTTCTCATTCATTTTCTGCATACCTGCAAATTAAAGGGCAGAAGAAGAGATACGC